AAAAAAAATACCTACTAGGTACTTAAATTGATTAAGTACCTATATATTTTTACCTGCCGTTGCTGCAAGATATGGTTAACGTTTATTATTATATAGTCCACACTTTTTAATAGGTTTTTGTATTTGAACGTATAATTTTTTTTAATGCTCTTCTGATAGTTTATCATATTCCATTGCATTTGTTTGTGAATCACCAAACGATATATTATATACCATAGCCTTACAAAATGTGCTAGGCCGCATTATGCACACTTTACCGAAATTATAGGTGTTAGTCGGTTTTTTCTAACAATAAACCATTTATTATTGATACCTTGACCCCTTGTGTCAAACTCCATTTTTTTTTCGTTTCTGAAACATTAAGTGATTTTATAAACTCCATTTTCTTTTTTTTATTTCTGTGTCAAATAAAAAAGAAGACAAAGGCTGGGCTAAACCATATTATTCATCTGATCCATTAGAAGTCGCTTTTGCCTTGTATTTTCCGGAAGATTAAAAAAGTGATCGTCGGTGTTTTAAATTTTTTCTTTTGTCCGATGTGTATTTTAAAATTGTTTTTGCAATAATTCTTAGAAATATGCAATGGTTATTCATCAAAAAATGTACTTACCTATACCAGGAGATCAATTGAAGTCAGTGGTTAAAGTGGAGGGGGACGGAGTCCCCCTTCTTATTTAAGGTAAGTATATGCGTTCTCTTTAAGTTGCCAAAAGTCGGGGTAGACGCTTAATGGCATTGGTCACTAACAGTGTTTCTTCAGACACCTCTCCGGGAGGGCATAGCCCCCCCCCCCCGGATAAAATTTGAAGAATATTAAATAAATATCAAATGTTAGAAAAATAAAAATTGTATATCACAGTGAATAATCTATATCGTTAGATAAGAGTCAACACCGTGTCATCGTATTCTATTTATAAAATTATTTTCCCGGTGTAAATCAGTAAATAGATAATACTAGCTGTTGGGCAACGATAACTATAAATTATTGAACACCAAAAATAATATCAGATAAATATTTCAATAGTTTGTCAAAAGCATATCATTGAAGTGTATACGCATTTTTTTCTAAATTTTTTTTTTTTTTTTTTTAATTGCTGTAACTTGGTCAATTTTGGACTTAGAAAGTTGATTCAACTACCAAAATTCATTTAAAAAATAGGCAAAAAATAATTAGAATAATTAGTGGTTAAAGCAAGGGGTTACCAATAAAAAAAAAAGTTGACATGCGCATGCGCGTGACTAGTTAAGTAAAAAAAATTCAAAGACCATAAAAATATGTATTTTTTATGTCATAACAACTGCCAAAAAAACAGAATTCAAATAGCAGGTCTCTACGCAAAGATATTGAATGTTCTCGATTACCGTTTACACACTGTATAATAAAGTTTCAGATTATATTATAACCATAAAAAATTGTGCAATTAATTTATGCCCCCCCCCCCAATAAAAAAAATGTTTCACGGGTACGCCTTTGATGTCAATCGTCTTTTCCAGTTGAGCCTCCACTGCTAAAACACCAAAGCTGAAAGTCTGTTGTGTTATTGATAATCGTAATACATTCTTCACTTTCTTCAACGTCGAAAGTGGCGTAATTTGAAATTGGTTCTGGGGTGGGATTGGTATATAAGTTTAAACTATCATTCTAATGAGGCTATGCCCTCCCAGACCCTCCTTAACCTTTAAATCTCATATATCTCAATATTATATTAATTTATTATTATAAATTAAATGAGGCAAATGTTATAATGATGATTTTCATAGACAATTAAGTAAACAATTAAATTAAACTAAATATATTTTTCATAAATTATAATATATATTCAATTTTTTTTTTTTTTTTCGCTAAAATATTCAGTACGTCATCGGGGTTCAACTGAATGTCCCGATACACTGATAATATAGTAAGTCTATTCAAGCGTTCCTATTAAGTATTAAAGTTAGTATAAGTTCGTAATTATTATGTAATTTACAAAAGCAGTGATAATTACCTGACTCATTGTGTTTCTGAGGTAAGTTTTTACTCTTTTTAAAGTAGAAATATTGAAATATGAATAAATAAAAAAATGTCAGTTAAATTTTTTAATTAGCCAAGTATTATGAAAAAGTTTAAATTAATATATGGTATACATCTAACAAGTATCATAGTATAGGTTACTTACAAGATATTTATCTTCATCAGCCAAAGCATGTTTATGAATAAATAAATTTATATCATTTTGATGGTACTGTGCATTGCTACTTAAGCATTCAATCTTAAAATTTAAGAAGAATAAAGCATTTGTTTTAGTATATTAAGCGATCTTGTAAAGTATTCGAATACAAGTATTTGAATACTTGTATTTAAATACTTTTTGAAGTATTTATATGGTATTCTAAATACAATTTTTTTATGTATTTTTTAAGTATTTTGAATACTTTCTAATTATATTTTTACCAAAATTTAAATACTTGTATTAAAATACCATAAAGACCGTTTTATTAATTTTAATTTATTATTTTTACAAAAAAAATTTACATCAATAAAAATAACATTGTTTTCATTGAAAACTAATATTATGTTTTTGTATAGTAAAAGTAGGCAATAACAATGTTACCACACTAAATACCACATTAAATTTTATATAGTTTCTGAATTGGAATTTTTTTAAGAAAACTGATAATTAGGGAACGGATTTATATGTAATAAAAATAAATAAATATGTACATATGTATGCAAGTATAATTTATAAAATATGTACTAAAACCATCCAAATATGTAGGAAAAAAATTTAAAAAAAAAAAAATTATAATTATTAAATTATCAAAATGATTTGTTGCATTGAATTATTACAATATATTTTAAATTATCAAATATTAAATGTCGCCTATTAAATCTGAAAATATTTTTAAAACGGCTAAATGATCGTTCCACATCAACCTACATCGGTTGATTTAAGCATATTTGAAGGGCATAATATTAGAAGGCGATAATTCCAAATTTTTAGAAGGGTGTCTGCCACTAATTATGTCATTAATTGATTTAAAATCAATATGGCCTGAAATTTTTTCTGTAAAAACATGAATTTTCTTTTTTACTACTTCTCCTATTGGTCCGTTTACGAGTTTTCATTTTGCAATCGTTGATTCGACAATTTGCATACTTTCATTCAAGGACATATTTTTGTTTCTAATTTTGTAATTGTATGTGCATAAAAACTAAAATTCACTAAGATGAAAATTAAATTTGTTTTCAGTGTTTCATTTTGCATAATATTTTGAGCTTTTCTAATAGCGATAAAAGTTCTGGATCTAAATTTGAAATAATTTTTTGTATTTTTGTACGAAGAAGACGTATGAATGATGAAATAATAAAATATGTTTAAAAATATTTACAAATTAGTGAAATATGTAAAAATATGTAATTATACCAAAATATGTAAAAATATGTAAAATAAAAGTAGCATCATATTAATAGGAATGATTTAAATCATGAACATATCTTATCAAATTTTAAATATCTCGTTTTAATAAAAATATGTATTTACAAATAAATCCGTTCCCTACTGATAATCTAATACCTAATTTTAAAATAGTTCCATATTAATATATATATATATATATTTTTTTTTTTGGTTTAATTGGGCCTTTAAGACCATCCCGTCTCACAAACAAGTTTCCATCCTATTCTATCCAATGCTAGATTTCTCCAGTCGGAAACACCTCCTTACTGTTCAACATCCTTTTTTATAATATCTCCCCATCGCATTCTTGGTCTTCCCAGAGGACTTTTACCTATAGGATTTTGTTCAATCACTGCATGTAATAGTGGATTTTGGCTCCTCCTAGTATGGCCAGCGCATCGTATTCTTCTGTTTCTGGTGATTTCCAATATGTCCGAACATTTTTCTAAGTGACCATGTTTCCGAACCATACAATACAACCAGTCGTATTAAAGACGTATATAATTGTTTTTTTATTCTTCGCGATACTGCTCGTGAGTTTAGTACCTTAGTCAGTCCATAGTAACATTTATTCCCAGCTTGAATTCTTGCAGCTACCTCGCTTGTTATATTATTTTTTTTCAGTCAAAATAGAACCTAGGTATTTGAACTGTTTTAACATTTTAAATTCATAGTGATCTATTTTTATGGACTGGCAAATAGGTAGTCTCCGTCTACTCATAAGCATGTATTCCGTTTTTCCTTCGTTTACACAAAGTCCTACTTTTGATGCTGCTTTATACAATCTACTGAATTAAGTCTTCAACCTATCCTAATCCTGAGTTCCATATTAATAGTAAGTTAATATTACTTTTTATTTTATTTTTTTCATTAATATTTAATTAATATTAGTTGAAATATATTTGAATGCAGAATGGCGGATAACATCCCACGCGATCACAACGAGGAATGTGCTTATGCAATAAACTAAATAAATACAAACAAAATTATGGAGCACAGCCCTCGCTGCGTGTGACCACTCAAGCACAGTCACAGACGAAAACGAATTCACACGTGTCTGCAGCCAAAATACAACACAATTCAAAACCACGTTACTCACAATGACCACTGGTAGATATGCCTAAAACACCAAAAACTATTAAACAACTGCAACAAAATAGTTGCTAGAACGATAAATACCAAACGACCAAAACAGGAACAACAACACAAGACAACGTGGTTTTTACAAGAAATTGACTGCAGACGAAGATAACCGGAACTTGATGTGCACATTTAGAAGACACGACGAGCGCGGGACGGTTCCGACGACATCCACCACGAAAGCTATTGCCGCCAGACACCATAATGGAGATAAAATGCCTCAGTGTCACCACACTCTTTTCGGCTGTTGAAGCAGTTATAAATTAAGTCAATATAATTCTTAATATCACGTACGTATTGGAGTATATACTCAAAAAATATCAATCTTGTCGTTCAAATAAAAATATTAATATATTCACTCAATTTTTTAAATTGCTATAACCCTCATTTAAGGACTTAAATTTTAGTTTTATTGAAAATAGTAATAAATGAATATTAAATACTAAAATGTGCACGGTAGTTATCTAGGCTTTCTATTTTCGATTATTCCTTCTATCCCTCGATCTGATAGTTACTGGATATCCATGAACGCTTCTCATTAGTAGGTCTATTTCTAATTTAATGTCGCTTAATTTAATGTCAGTGTGCACACTGTAATTTCGCAAGAACGTAGAAACTAGGACTTTCATAGACAGCATAGCATATTTGGCACCTATGGTAAATTGGTTACGGTTTAAATTATAATATTATTCGTAATTAAATGTCATTGTGTTACCTAAACAATTCCTTGGACCACTACTAAAAGGTATAAAACTGTATTTATGACGTTTCATGACGTTTTCGAAATTGAAGTTATCCGGGTCGAAAGACCAAGGATTCGGGTACAATTCAGAAATATGATGTGTTCCAAGTGGACTTATAATACACGTTGTTCCTTTCGGTAGCACGTAGTTATTTGAAGCTAAAATAAGGTTTGTTTAATGTTTTATATTTAGAATAAACTGAAATTACGGTTTTTATATTAACTCACATATCTTAATGTCGTCTTGGAGTTCTCTAAGGAACAGTGGTCCCGGTGGGTATAATCGAAGGGTTTCTTTTATCACTTGTTCAAGATAATTTAGCTTAAATGTGTCTTCAAAGGTAATTAATTCATCATTTTCACCTAAAACTTCGTAAATTTCTTCGTAAACTTTATCCTAAAAGATTGTAAACAAAATAATCAGGACAAAATATTTTTATTATAAAATGTAATCTCCATTTGACAATGTATTTCCTAATCAAACGTAATGAAATGCATAAGTTATATACATATCATAGGGATGGGCATAAGCGTGTGCAGACATAACTGGCAGGGTAGTCAAACATAATACATTATCATTTAATATTAACAAAAAATTTGCATTTGTAACTTCATTTAACTTAAAAACTATATTTCTCCAGTAATCTTACATTTTTTTTAACGTTAACTAATGTTTCGAAGTGGTTGAAAATAGTATGTTTATTTATTATTGTGATCATATTGAATATTTTGGTGAGGGTGGGAAGTTTCACAGAATAGTCAAGTACCTACCCTGACTACCCCGTGTGCACGCTTATGGGGATGGGGAAATTTGTTTGAACATCGATATTCGATGTATCAATACCTACATCAATTTTTAAAATATCGTTGTGTTCGATGTATCGGCGAAAAACCATCGATGTTTAAGAACATCGAAGTTTAAAAACCTCAAAAAAATTTTTTTTCCTTCTAGAGCTGCCATCTTTTGCACACCTTATTATCTGTACAGTGTATAATTTTCTTGATTAAATAATAAATTTAAGAGTTAAAATACTGTTGTTTAACTTATATTTTTTAAAAACATTAAGTACTTATGATCGGGTCTCGTAAGTTCATGCATTTGCATGTTTTCTTTGCTATATTGGAAAATATGCTAATTGAGATAAAAATTCGTTTCATAACAATGGTAATAAAAATCTAAAGTTTAACAGAGCATGCTTTTGTATGTTTTGTGTGTATTGAAATATTTGGCATATAGTTGATTATTTTTGAGTTGTTAGCGCATATTATTTTATGTAAATTCAGCAAAATCATTTTTCATGAAGTCAAAAAAAATGAGATTTTAATGACATTAAATTTTATAAGTTAAAAGTAGTATCACGAAAACAATGTTATTGAGCACCACTACCACTCTCCTCCTATTGACGAGTACATTGCAATCTATCTATTTTCGTCACAACGTGTGTTCATTAATTTTAATTTTAATAAAATGTAACCGAAGAAAAATTATAAAATGGATAGTTCTTATTATTTTTAAAAAATCCTTAAACGTTTTTTTCGTGCATATTTAATGATTTTTAATGCATATTTGATTAAATGTTAGTGCATTATTGCATGCTTATTTATGCGTTTTTTATTACATGAACTTACGAGATCTGATTATAACTGTATAGTGTATTCTGTATAACGATATTTGTGTACTGCATAATAAAATAATACAAACAAAAAAAAATTTCGAACTTTTCGAACATTAACATCGATATATCGAACTAAAACATCGATGTTTTTGTCTATCCCTAACGTATCATGCTGCACTAAAAAAATTAGTATATATAGAAGTGGATAAAATACAACTGTTCGATCTCTGGGACTACATTGCATCCATCAGTATGAATACCATTTGTTGTAAGTATGGTAATAACTAGGGTTCGAGACTTATTGCGATTAATAGAAAATTAATAGAAGTTCTTAGCAGCAACTAAAAACTTTAACACTAAGCATTTTTCAAGATTAATATCAATTTCCAAATTTTTTTTATTAAATATGAGATGAGTAAGTATCTAAATTTATAAAATAGTTGTTTGAAATAAAAATAAAATATTTATTATGGTATAAATATATTATAGTTATATTTAATGGGATGGACCAATGTTCAGAAATTATATAAAATAACTGCATTCATAGTTTCAAGTGGGTCATAAAATAAAAAAGGTTTGAAACTTTTTGAACTATAAATGATTGAAATAAGCTTGCAATAATGCTGCCAAGAACGTTCCCGAAAGGCAGCGTTATCTGGTGGACCCAGTAGCAGAAGGTATGGCGGAAATGATGGTCCGTTTAAACATACATTAGAATAAAAAAGTACAAAATATGCAAATTCAACCTTTGTTTTTAACTTGGTCATTTTATAAAACAAAATGTTTAACTTTACTAGAATAATCAAAGATCACTAGAAAAAACATGCAAATGCAAAAGTCCCGAACCCTAGTCATATGTTATGATGATTGACTATAAAGTTGATTTACAAACATAATATTTATAAATATAATTAAAAACTAATTTTTTGTAGATGTACAATAAATAATATAATATAATTTATAAGATTTAGAAATATTGTTCTTACTTGGATATCTTGGTGGATAGCTAATAATAACAGACAAAAGCATAATGTAATGGCAGTGGTTTCAGTACCCTGTGAAAATAAATTAATGATTTTAATTCAATTTATTATTTTACTTTTACGTTTATTTAGAAATAATTACAGCAATCATCATAGTAACAACTTCATCCCTAAGATCTTCATCGGACAAATTTGCACCAGTTTCGTTCAATTGTAATAACTTGTCCAAAAAAACTTTTGGGTTATTTTCTATATAGTTAATAATAATAATAATAATAATCAAACATATAAAATAATTCAGTTAATATTAAATAAATACATTAGTACAATTTAGTAATATATTAATAACTCACTTTCGTTTCTATTGAAAGAATCGTCCGAAGCATCCGTTCTATTTATTATTTTCCTTTGAGCAATTTTTTCCTTCTTTTGTTTTATTATCTAAACATTTAAAATATAGTTTATTAAAGATTACTCAACACATCGGAAATATTACATTTAGCGTTTAATGCCTTATGGAAAACTTACCTGATTTGGCAATTTGTGTAAATCTTTGTAAATATTTTGCAAGCCTTTGCATTTTCGATAAATTGTGAATATGATATCTGGATAAAGCCATGGTTTGTATGTTCTCATAAAATCCAATTCTGATACTCTAAAAAAAAAAAAAAATAATAATAAAAATGTATCCTTGATATGATATACTATTGACTAATTACATTTTTATGGAGTTGGCGAATTCGGACTCTATATTTGACTGTGTATCGAGTTTATAACCCATCATAGTCTCTACAAACATAAAATATATATAATATAAATATTTAAATAAAACAAAATTTAAATCCTTGTACTTCATTATTATAATGTGCAGTAATCGAGAATATCACGTTTTAGACATTTATAAATTACTGCTTAATTCGGCAGAAAAAATTCAATTCATAACTAAGGGCAGAACTAACGGTACATGCATTTCGCTTTAAACAGGGTAATCCTCAAAGCAGATCACCTTTGTTAATGGGATAATTAATGAATTATTATTATTACGAGTATTATTAATAAATCTTGCTGTACTATCGTTTAATCCATGTGCATGAAATCATTTGAAGAGCTCTTATTTTTAAGTTGTGACTACTCGTACATGCTCGCCGACTGTCAACCATTTTATTTTTATTCACAAAAACACTATGGTCAGTGTGTTAACACCACAGATATATATATATTAATTTATATTTTTATATTTTTTCCCTATATATTCGTCCTTACATTTCCCTTGGTCACTCCAAGGTATATATTTAGAATTACAAGTTTGATAATGGCACAATTAATAATAATAAAAAGCTAGAATTTGAAAAATATTGAAGCAACTTATTATTATTATTGAAGTATACATATTGAGATTAGTAATTAAAATCATAGTGTTTAATTTCAATAATGTATAACTTAAATAACAGTAAAATATAATATCATTATTGACTGTAGAATAATCTGAGTAAGATATAAATTTATTTTAAGACTTAACCGATTAACATACAAAAACTTGTATTGCACATATTTGTATATTTTACCATTTTTATGCAGATTCAATGTTAAACAGATTTTTGCAATATAAAAGTTATTTAAGGAATATATGTTACTTTTATTGTTTTTTTGAAGTCAATTTCTTTCTAATGCTTAACATCTTTTTTTACATTTTTTATAGTTCTAAACCTTTTTCTCATTATAGGAGAAGACAAAAATTTAAAATAATATTATAGTTTTAGACTGATAGAGTTATTGGTGTCAAAAAAAAAAAATTTAATCTAAAACCTAATAAATCGAATAAAATTTCTATTTTTACTTAATTTTTTATTAATCGCAATAAGTCCCGAACCCTAGTTATTACCATACTTACGACAAATGGTATCAAGACTAGTGGATGCAATGTAGTCCCAGAGATTGAACGGTTGTGTTTTATCTACTTCTATACTAATTTTTTTTATGAGAATTTCGTTTTTTTCATGAAATACGGGAAATAAATGTTTCATAAGTTTATTGTTGAACACAGGAGCAATTATACGACGGTGCAATCGCCATTTATCAACTGTAATCATCAAAACAAATACTTTTATAATAATAATTTTAGTAATAGTTCTATGCCAGTGTACATAGGAAGGTGCTGGCACCAAACTTCTAAAATTTTACTCAGGCCAAATAAAAATACAATGGCCTCAAGCATCCCAGTGGCCACAAACCTATATTTTTACTTTGCATAAAAAAATAATTTGTGCTCTTAAATTACAAGTATTCAGCATGATTCATACTAATCTGACATGACCGACAGATGTGTTTTAATTTAGGTAATTAACATTTGAACGTTTTCGTTCCGTTTATACATATGCCAATCTATAGAGTCCTTCCGGTATTAGAAAATAATCGCTACATCAGAATATTGCAAAGTATAAACAATAGATTGGCCCCTCTGATCCCCGACCTCATTTTATCGGATTAAACCTAATTTTCGCATGCGTATAGAAGTAAAAACGCCTAATATTTTCTAAAATTAAACGTGCACAATAACCACTGCGTGGAATTACAATGATAAAACATAATTATAAAATACATTTTTTATCATGATTAACTTATTGTAATTTTTATTGTTTATTAATTAATTATTTTAACTAATATTAGTAAAATTTAAAGATTTACTGATACATCTTTTAAAAAATATGATGAGTTTCATGAATTTTTTGAAAGCTTAGAGAAATGTAATATAGTATGGATTTTGAAATTTCACCCCTAGAAAGGTTAAACAACAAAAAAATAAATTAAATTATTATACCGATCACACTCAATATCTTTTTGAAATATAAGCGTTTTACTATTAAATGATCAATTTTTAAACAATACAAATATTATAGCAGGCTTTATTATAGCTTCTAATTTCTATTGAAATTTATGATAATTAATTAATTTAAGTTATTTATGATTTAAGTGAATTTTATTTAGATAATATTGATCTTGGTTTCTTGAACGTTTGTCATTTTCCGGATATGATTTCCGGTAATCTTGAACGTTCTAAAAAATATAATAATATTTTAATTTATAACCGTAAAATGATAAACAAAAGTTCAAGAATCTATTTTAGGAGCCATTAGTTAATAATTTGTCAAATTCGATGAAAAAAAAATCCCCATTAAAAAAATCCTGTGTACGCCATACGCTATGTGTTCTAAGGCATACACGACTCAATAACTCACATATTTTTATCACTTTATTTATTATACTGATAATTAGAAAATTATAATCATATTATTCAATCTAGTACTCCAACTCTAAATAATTCAATCACATTTATACTTTTTCTAGTTCAAATATTGTTAGTAAATGTTTTTAATGATACCGAATCTCTTAAAATAATATCAAACTAATTCCACTTATTTTTTTTCTTTTCATTCCTCTTTTCCTCTATTGTATTAATTTGCATGTCAGTCATATGTGCCAACATTTCTTGTCCTATCTTAATATTTATGAATCATCTCAATCAGTTTTATGTTATATTTTACAAATTTGAGTTATCAAAGGTATACTAGGAATACTGACCGGGAGCAGAAAATAAACTTTCGCCGACGGTATTCTTAAAAAAACTGTAAAAATTGCCTTTTTCCAGGGATTTGGAATTATTTAACACTATCTAAATAAAAATAATAATCCAATTAGAAAAATATATATATTTTTTTATAATTTTTTTAATTTTTTTTGTCAAAGTTGAAAAACACTGCATTATAATTAGTTGTTCGAAGAATTGATGGATTAATGAAATTTAATTGACTTTTATGTTTTAAGTAATTAATACATTGTTAGTACAAAATTTAAATATTTCATTATATAATTTTCAACTTTTTATTGAGTACATTATAAAAGAATTTCTTACCTGCAAATCTTCTGGTTTGTAGATGATTACGGCGAATGATGTACCCAACCAAATTTTAATCAGTTCGGAATTGTATTTTTGAAAACATTTTAATAAATTTTCCATCACTTCTGAAAATTCAATCAGTGCAACGTTATTATATTATGAACTGTATATTGTTATATTGTAATTTATTATTATTATTATTATTATTATTGTTACTGTTGAATAACCTTTCGGGCTCTAGTATATAACGTCTATAATTATTTGTAACTTACGTTGAGGTGTTCCGAGGAACTCAAGCCCTGAGCCTATGATCGGGTATGATGGAGGTCCTTTTAGTTTAGCTGCTAATCTATTAACGTCCTTACGGTTCCATTTGTAGTAATACCACAATGCAATAACCAAAAAAATTGCTCCATACATCATAAACTCGAATTTTGACACTCGAAATCCATCCATTGATTCCATGGCTTTGTTCATTTCAAATATTATGTCTTTATATTAAATCTCGTAATGAATCAATATTTAAAACACTTTCAAAATACTAAATAGAAACAGTTAAATATTTTGTATAATAATATCACATGATGGGCAGTGATTAGAATTCTATAGCCGTTTTCTTTTTATAACAAAAAGTATGTTGCATGACCTCATTAAGGGTGTCAAAGGTCTTTGAATAGCATTAATAATTGTTTGTACTATTTGCATATATTATAAACAATTAAATATAATATTATAATGTAATTTGAAGGTTATTTATTATTTTATAAATTTAATTTATTATTTTATATTATAAATTGTCTAATGACAATAAGTGGTGATGTCATAGATGAAGTTGAAAACTTCAAATATACAGAAGAATAGAACAGAGTACGAGTGTTACGGAAATGAGAATGCTTAGATGGATGAGT